TGAGCTCGAATTTCCACGACGGCTAACCACCAGAAAAGTGTCTATAGAAGGCCGCTGGAAAAAAAACGCAGATATTAGGAATAAAACTTTTTCAGGTTTCATAGCTTACGTATTTGCATAGTTCAAAAAGGAAAGCCAGTTAGGGTCAAATGTCAAAAGGTAAATATTTGTTAGTTAGTTGAGGCTGTGAGTAAGGGCTGATTTGACTCACCGCAGAGCCACAACCATCTTTGAAGACTTTGTCGGTTCCACGGAGAACAAAATCAGTAGAACCTTGCGCAGCCAATTGGAAAATCGATTTCAATGCTCACAGCCTTGCTTGAGAACATCCTTCATATGCATGCTATCAATCAATTACAATACAGGGATGCCTCTAAGCTGTTATTCATGTACTTCCTAGTACACTCGCCTCTTACCGTAACTGTAAGTTCAGATGTCAACAAACGAGTTCTACTTACACCTGCGATGCCTCCATCAAAATCAACCAGCGGCTTTCCAATAAAGAACGAAGGCACTCGGGCCGCAGTGCTACCTTTAGAGTCATCAACTGTATGCAGCAGTTGATCCTCATTTATCCGCACTCTTTTTTCTCGTTGGACGTTTTCCGCTGAATGCGTGGAGGTGAAAGGAAGAAAATAATGGGTTAAGTTTATTTCCAGACTTGATAACTGCAGTTGAAATCATAGTTTCTTTGGCTTTTTATTTTACGTCGCAAATCGGCGTAAAGATGGGTTTGCGTTTATCGCAAAAATACGAATGGCACAAAATGCTTTTAAAACGGTAGAGAAGCGCTCAATGGTTTTTTCTCAGTTCCTACGCACGCATCAAGTTATCTACCTGGTCGTTAAACCGAAAACGATTAAACACTCAATTTACCCGTCCTTCCTTCAGTTCATTCATTTATTCCATTCATTTTTCCTTTTTTTTCTTTTTCTTTCTCTCCGTTACCTTTTCTGTCACCTACCGGTGTTGGTTTCATCTTCCACGTTTTTCAAATCCATTGATTCTGGCTCAACCATACCTGATTACCTGTAAAAATAATTAGTCAAGTCACCTTTCATGATCGCTAGATATCCTTCTTTTTTCCCGATGTTTTCAGTCTGAGATTCATTACTTTTATCAAAACGTTTATTCTCAAACGCTCATAGAAACGAAATCAAGAAAGGAATAGAAAGGGTACAGTTCATGAGACCCCAGCCTGGTGTTTTTTGGTTGTTGGAAATTTTTGCATTTATTTGCTACTGGCATGATAACCCGAGAAACTTTTCTTTGGAATTTTCGTGGAGTCTGATGAATATTTTGTAATGTAGGTAATATTAAGTTGATGATGTAATGAATTTCATTCAATAGGCTCGCCCTCTTTTTGTCAGGGTGTATCGTAAATGATAGATGTATTTTCCAAGAACCTTTGTAACACACTCGGTATATACAAGAGAGCGCCTGTACTGTGAGATACCGGCACCTGATTCCTTTTCAACGTGATCAATTGAAGGCAAAATCAGGGGACAATAAAGATATCAAAACATAAATAAAAAAGGAAAATGATGAAAGGGGGACACAGTGTGGAAAACAATTAATAATATTGATAAGGGACATTACGCTTCCTGCCTAAAAAATAAATCTTTGAAATGATCAAAACTGTCAGACAAGAGCGGCAAAAACAGCATTTACGGCTGATTCTTGGACGTATAAAATACATAGATATAAATGCAAAATTAAGAACCAAAGGCTCTCATTAAAAGCTAGTTGGTGCTATGGCTAAGCTAAGTTACAGTCACTAGACTGTAACTTCAAAAGACATCCACTTCTAATTGAAGAATGAATGAAGTACATTTTACCAAACAGACTCGGCTCAGCCGTACTTATTACTGACCCCGAGCAAGCTTGAATACACGACTTGTACCTTCTTGGAAAATAGATTGGAAAAAAAAGTTCGATTCGTGAATTGGGGAAGCGAGACACATCTTTCATTAACTGGATGCATGGACCTTGTCGTTGAAATCGTGTCAGGCTAGTCAGGTCGGAACATGAGATGGCTGGCTGTCATTTTACGCACTCAACTCAACAAGACCTTAACGTACACTTATCGAACGATTTCTTTAAGTTGACTGCGACTTCTGCAAGAATCAGTGCTCTGTGAGTTAACATTGAAATCATAGTGGTGATTTGTTTTGCTTTGACGAGTTTTGCTTGTCTTAGTTAGTCGCATTTATCTTATCTACCGGACGCCTTTGCAGCTTGGCAACTGATTTTCCAACTAAATCCCGTTGCGGTAAGGCTCATTATAACGGATCTCTTTAAAATCGAAGTAAATTGTTCGAATCATCACTGAGTATAATTGGTCCTGAACAACAGGAACAACGTGTGGCACGTGAAAAATACCGCTTTTGAACATAAGAATTCAAGCGAAAATACGAAGGCGATATAGATTACTTACCTTGTTGTGATTGACCAAGCTTATGAACCCCTGTCGAAAGTAAGAAATTTAGTATCGCATTTGTTCTACCATGAACTGTCCTTTAACACCTTTTGAATTCTCTAACAGTGTCATTCTGATATTTGCGAATTCATCTTTCTATGTTTCCCGCCCTAGCTTATATAGTTTGCATATATTAGCCTCTTCAAGTGTTTTTATTCTGTTTGACGGATTTGGTAAACCACAAGTATATTGAACATCCAGTTGATTGAAATCTTTCGGTTTTGTTTGCTTTACGTCACGTTGAAAATCAGTGAAGTGAAGGAACCTTATCCATAGCCGCCATTGATAATTTCTGGTATAATACCTCCTCGTAAAAGCGTGTCACTTTTCATTTTGTCATTTATCATGTCTCGCACTTTTGTCAGATTAAGGCTCTGGAAGGCATATTTCTCAGCAATTTCTCATTCCGCTTATAAAAATTGGCCAATCAAGAAGTTACTCCACGCTTTAACGTTACGAATCTAATTTTCAATTTTTCTTATGAACCTGGTAACTTGTGAGCACTTCGTTTATTTTTTTTAAATTTTCCTTTCCTCTTTCCTTTCAACATCCTTCAGAAACAACGAGCTACAGCAAGAATAACTCGCTAAATCAATAAGGATGCACGTAAAAAAAATTATGCTTAACCAACCAGCAACGAGCAATTTTGTTGTAGGAAGCCTGTCAGTTTAAGCCAACCAAGGAGAACTCAGTGGACAGAATCAAGATCCACGTGCATGCAGGAAGTTTGAGTAATTATGAAGAAGTAAGTGATCAACGTGATGTGAATATTAACCGGAAGAGTCAAGGTGCCCACCGCTGTTACCTACAATACCTTTACAACTGGGAGTAATTAAGGACCAGTTCTGTAACAAAGCTTAATGAGATGTGAATCAGTTTTATTTCGACCTTGACTTCATATAGGTCATTGCATTAGTCTGATCAGTCGCTTAAGGTTCAGTGTATGTAACTTAAACAAGTTGATATTCTGGTTGCTGGGTAAATATCTCCTTGCCAGCTGTCTATTTGTCTTTCACATGAGTTCAGTGGTGCTCGGTCAACTGTGTATAATACGTAGACCTGACAGGCATGCTATAAACGACCACTTGCTTGTACTGCACATCCTGATATGCACGTCTCGTGGTACAACTAAACTTACTTTTGTGTATTGGTGAAGTGCGTCTACAACTCGGTCAGTTCCGTTTACAACTATGTCAGTTCCGTGAAAATAACTCGGTCCCTTACGTGATAAACGCGGTATGTTGTGTGTATTACTAAATCAATATTGAGCAATGTTAAAACTTCCTTTAGGTCAATTAGTACCACTAATAACCGTACAAAACTGTGGAGCGGAAAGAAAAAAACGGTGTGTTTCAAACAAACAAGAAAGTTTCCCGTTCACGAATTTGTGATGATGCTTCTTTCGCTGGTGATGACAATCAAAAAAGTTAAAAAAAAGATATTATAAAATCATAAGATCATCATTACTGGTCTTCCAATGAGTATCGTCAATCAGGTTTATCTTATATATTCAGTCTGCATCAGGCTCCATAACATGTATGGCAGTTTTATTCCTCCTTTCTGCTGGTATTTATTAAACCTCACATAAAGCTGACCTTACACCTGTTGAATTTCTGCCCTCTCTTCAGTGAAACAAACTTCCTTCCGGTTTCGCCCATGCGCTAAAAGGTAACGTTACGTCGTTTGCCTTGCCCTCTTCTTGAAAAATTCGAAACGGACGTGAGAGAACGCACTCTGCGCTGTGCAAAGAACAGCCTGAGGCTCGGCTTTTCGTCACAGTTGCGGTCTACTTAGCTGACATTCAGTTATGTAATCACATTATAATTGTAATGGGGTTGATGGGCTACAGTGAGCTTTTAATTAAATAGACTAATAGTGGCAGCCTATGGTACTCCTTTCCTCCGCACTATTTTCACTTATTCGGGCGCTTAATGTTGACTTTCCCAAATTTAGGAAACGAAACTTCGATCAAAACACCTCGCCGGAACTAAGAGCATATATTTACTTACTAACATCCTGCCCCTATGTGCATTTCCTGAGTAATTAATACGAATAGAGCGGTTACCAATTAAATGTGTTTCGCAGGGCCCGCGCAGGGGGAGGGCCCCCGTCCCTCCCACTTTCTATAATAAATAAATAAATAAATAAGGTGACAGACATTTTAAAATAAATGAGGTACTTTTGCTAGGACAGTGATAATCGGCTGGTGGACCTCGCGGGAAACATCCAAGTTTTCGATCCTAAGTCTGATGGAATAAGTCTTAAAATGACTATCTTTACAAAAACTGCAATTAGCTGTAGCTAGACTTTGCAGAAATGACGTTTCAAATACTGTTTCTCGGTTCATTCGTTATTGTATCAGTTTTAATTTACGCTCGACATGGAGAATATGAACAATTTTGCTTGATTATCAAGTTGAGCACCCGTTGTGTCGTGGATTTTGTGGAGACAAAAAGGTTTTGCATTGTAACGTTTTATGGTTAGAAATATTTTAAACGAAGAACTAGGTGGACATCCTGGCTCATACAATCCTGCGATCATAACCAACAAAGAGGCGCATATGATCTTTTGTAATATAAACAACGAATCTGAAGAATCGTCGCAGACTGCCAACATTAGCAAAAAACGGGCAACGAGAATTTCAGATTATTTTTGCAAAAGCGGAAAACCCCACTCTCTCAGGTGAGGTATTACCTACTGTCAAACCTGTATTAAGCAAACCTTTGATAAGCGTCAGTTACTAAAATTCCCAGAGGTCCTTTCCCTTGATTACCGTAAAACGTTTAAACAGTCGTTCTGTTAAGATGTTCCATATGCACTAGATACATTGTACATGGCCAAATACCAGTACGTCGCTGTAATATGACAGGAGGATTCTAAAATATCAGTTAGAATCTCTCTTACTTATTTCTTGTTACAGTTACAGTGATATTTACATGCTTTAGAATACATCTTGTTGTTTTAGAGTTCTCCCCCTCCCTTCAATTCAAGAGGTGGAGGGGCTCCCCACTTGAAAAACTGCTCCGCGGGTCCTGTTCGTTGCACGTTTTATAGTACAGTCAATTCTATCTAAGACAGACACCCTAGTGGGACCGGATCAATGAGTCTGTATAAGACAGATAGAGAGATGTTTGTTTTGTAGAGGGTCAACTGAACTAAAAGGAATAAAAAAAAAAGGCAGGCCCCAGTTCCAGGTGTCCGTCTTATTGAGGTGTCCGTTAAGATAGAGGTGGCTGTATCAGTGATGAGGCTCGTTTTGCTGTGAGGTGAATTAGTAACACAACGGTTGCTAGTGATTACACCAATCACTAGTATATACTGTATGGTGCTAAATAGTCACCTGCTGAAGTTCAGTTGTGAACGAACGAAATTTACCATGAATAACAGGGGAACTATCGTGAGACAAACAATAAACCGTAAATGATCGTTGTGAAGATACAATAGTTTCATAGGCAACAGAAGTGGAGTAGTTGTTTGTCTCACACGATTAACTTCGGCAGAGTAGACCTTGAAAATTCTCAATTTTACATTGCCGATCTATAGATCCTACCTTGAGTGCAGACGTCTACATCCGGAAATTATGCGGTTATACCACGCCGTAGAGGCTCGCAGTTCCACTTTTGATCATTTTGACGTCATGATGAAAACAACTGAAAATTGTGATCGAAGAATTGGCACTGCCTGATTTTGGGGAAATGAACTTGAAGCGATGTAAAAAAAAACTAAATTAAAGATGAACAATTCTAGAAAAGTGGGTATATGATATGGTAAATAATGCCATAAACTATGCAACCACCTTTTCTTCATTTTTTTCTTTAAGAATTAAAACAAATGAGAGAAAAATTCTTGTGTTTTAAAATAATTTAATATCTCTCTCTACGCTTCAGTTCACATTTGATAATGACTCAAGGTCACTTGTCGGGTGCGAAGATATTTCGCACTGGAGGAACGTTTCAGCCCCGAATGCTATCAAATAAACGTCAAGTGAACTTGATCGTGCCTCTTTTACCCACAGTAAATTCGAAGGTTTTTTTTTTTTGCCTTCTTCACTTTTACGTCAGAAATTTAGATGCTGTAAGTTTGGCTACTGTTGAGGGAATCAAACTAATCTTCAGTCTTAGCTAACCTTGCTAACACAGCATCTAAACTGACTCTGACATGAGAAAGTTCTGATCTTATCCCAGAAAGTTCTAACTTCATTTCATGAAGTGATAGGTCTTCGCGAATGTCAGCAACGTCTGAATTCTCGTCATGTCGTATCACACTCTCCTTTGTACGTAGTAAACTCCTAGAGAGACCGGTAAGTTCAGTCTTCACTTTCAAAACATCAGATCGTAGTTCCTGAATTTGCACGTCTTGATAATCGAGATCTTCTCTCGAGCACATCTACCGTAAAGAAAATAGCAATTCGTAAACTCTCTCCAATTATTCAACTTCGACCACATTCTCGTCCCCAGAGCCTCCTGGGGGCCTGAGCACGAGGACCAGGAGGCTCTGAGGACACAGGATTTGAAGTCCTAGATTTTAGTTCTTCCAGTCATTTCTGATTTTCTACAACGTTTCTAATAGCGTTCGCTTGCTCTTGCAGAAGTGTCAGTGACTGTTAATTTAGGTGATTCAAAGCTCCTTAAAGAGAATCCTCCAAGTTACTTTTGAATCGGAAATGACCGGAAGTCCTTAATCTAGGACTTTAAATCCTGGGTCCCCAGAGCCTCCTGGTCCTCGTGCTCAGGCTCCCAGGAGGCTCTTGGGACAAGAATGTTTCGACCATTCACAAAACAACTATTATTATCATTATCATTATTATCATTATCATTATCGTTATAATTATCATTATCTGCGCGATTCTCACTAGTTTTCCTAATGTTTTTCTGGGTCTTCTCGACTGGTAAGGGTTGACGGTGGCACACGCGATCCCATACTTTTTGCACAGCTCCCAGTGTACCCGTAGAGGCACATTGTAGTGGCTTTTTCTATATTCTCTCTGGCCAAGCATGCTGTATCCACTAAAATTATGTCACACTGCTTCAGTTTAGTCACCACACAATCTGTACACTGTTGTCTCAGAGGTCTTATCTATGCACTGCTTCACCGAATTTGTTCCTAAAGCTCGTTCTTGAGCAGAGAGGATTAAGCGTTCTGTTCTTGTTCTTGCCCTTGGTCTGCTTTTTATTTATTACTTGTAATACCTGTTACAATCCTCCACATAAAGGAATCCACTCTATGCTATCTCTGAGGTAGCCATGCAAGGATTTGCTCTCCTCTTAACACACTCCTCAATACCAATCAATCCTTTCCCCTTCCTTCTTCGGTATATGTAGTCTGGAAACATTATTCCTGGTGTGTTAACAGCCAACTTCTTTGCCAAAATCTTCCTAGTTTTTCTATCCATGCTTACCACCTCTTCCACTATCCAATCCACGATACCTGCACTACAGCGCACTACACCTGCAGCCAAGGCATTGATGACAGATCATGACACTAATAAGATTTCCACCATTCAATTTTGATCAACACAGCTTCTTAACTCTTCCAACATATTCCGCTGTTATCATGCCTTTTGTGCTGATGTTTTGATATAGTTCTACCCGGAAGTCTAGACGTGTGCGCTTGATTTGAGTCAAGGGATATTGTAAGAGTGTGCTGGCTGATTATCATGGCGTTTGACTATTGAAGTTTGTTGAGTTTTATCTCGTGTATCAAGTGCGATCCGTCGGGAATCGTCACACCTTTTATCTTGATATTTAGAGTCTGGTCCAACTGTAAAATGCCGAGGTATCTGTAACCCTGTTCCTCAACCTTTCCAATGTGCTGGTCGTCAGTAGGTATATTCCACGGCTGACCACTTTCCTTCCTCTCCTAATTTCCAGGACAGCACACTTGTCTAGCCCAAACGACATCTTGATTTCTTAAATATTTTCTCGTCATATCTTTTGATCTTAATTCCACTTGCCTTAATATTCTGCCTCAGAACTGCTGAAAGATACATAGCTCTTCTTTCCCCGAGACGATATTTTCTTTTCAGCCTTTCCCTATCTCTTTGTTTAAATGTCATGTTTTGTCTTCGCATTTCTTCGATCTTGTTAAAATCTTTTCTCCAAGTTCCAATGTTCCTCTTGATCCCTCTCTCTCCAAATGGCTCTTCAGTTCTTTTTTCTTTCCTCTTTTTCAGCATTCCCATTCTTTCTGTTGTGACACATGTTGTGACATTTGCAGCTTTATACAGTAAAGAGATTAGTTCAATAACGTTGTACCTGTGAATCTTCTTGATGACTCCATTTACTTTTCCAACTTCTGCTCTCAACTTTGCTCAATCGCATGACCTCACTGATTATAACCCTAGTCTCTGATCTAAATGCATCACTACCGGAATCCTGTCGAAGAGAACATCGAGTTCTGGGTTCACCGCTCTTTGTAGCTCTTTAGCTGGGGAACTACTGGCTTCCTCTGCAGCTCTAATGTTATCTAGTCAACGCTAGTCATCGCTAGTCATCCCTAACACTTTGGTCTTCTTCTTGGATATCAGGAGTTATCCTTACGGGCGTGGTGTGGTGAATTTGTGGTTCTAGGCTCCGTAGTTTCAATCTGCTGATGTTTGTTATTTGCCCTCAGAGTTATTTTCTCTTTTTCCAATGTCTCCAGCCACTTCTTGTGCTTAATCTGCCGTACTTGAGCTGCTAGTCTCTGCTCAGTAACTTCCGTTGACTCATCGTTGGTGTTATGAGATTCCACAATCCAACAATCTCTTTCTGTAATTTTTCCTCTCTTACTCACTCCTAATGTAACACTAAAACAGTCGTTCGTTGTCTTCCTTTGACCGGCCTTATCATTTCTGTCGTTGTTCGACCAGGCCTGGTCTTACTCTGCTGCCACTCTTTTTAATTGCCTTGACACTGATCTTAAGCAAATAGCGTGTGTATCTCCTTCTTCTATTATTTTTTCATCT